AGTGGCACAGTGCACCTCCACGCTGAGAAAATGGCAGCAGTGCACTTTGAACTAAAGCACATCAAACGCCGCCATTTTCTCAGAGTGGTGGCAGACTGTGCCGCTAATACATGTGATGCACGAGGCTACCAAAGTGCATCAATTTATGTGCTCCAGCAGACTCAATTAATCGAGTGATCAGGCTCCCCACATGTATGTAAGTGCACTAGAGACTAACTGGTTCAGAGAGTCATAAGCATTCATAGACAACAGCTTACTTCATCAAAAGCTATGAATGAACTCATAGAAAGAGAGAGTTTAAAATAGAAGGGAATTTAAATACAAAGGATAGGCAGAGAGGATACTACTGAGAGAGGGGAAGGTGGGTTGAACAGGTTGATAGAGAGAAACACAATAATCAACCCACTGGGGATTTCATTGTGACGGTAAAGTTAATCACAAGCATTAAATGCCTGCAGGGGCAGCATTTAAGGCTGATGGCCATTGCTGTGTGGGTCACACAAGCCCCTAGGCCCACAGTAAAGGGAGGCATTGGAATGGAGGTGAGCGGGGGGCTGAGCTTCTAGCCCTGTAGAATGGAGCAGGGGCAGGACAAGAGTAGGTTTCAGGTATCACCACCAAGAGCCAAGTTAATCCCTCCCCAGCCCTGAAGCCACCACCAAAATCATGGTGCTCCAAAGCACAAACTCTGTCAGGTAATGTTCTGGGGGGTTAGGATCAAAGTGACACTCAGGGAGGGGATGGGCCTTTACTTGTGGCATGCATGTGAAGAAATGCCCACCATTGATTTAGGATGTCCTTAGCTGTTCAGTTCTTTGCTTTTAGTTACTCAGGCTTTATAAAGGATGTGATATTTTGTTATCAGTTAGACATTGTAGACAGATTTTAAAAAGAAAAACTTTGGATTGGCTTTATGCATGTATAGAGATAAATATTTCATACAAAAACAATGTTAAAAGAACACTATTAAGACCATAAAGTCACGCCCTAAAAAACTGAGGCCCCATCTATATGCAATACCTAAGGCATGATTAACCAGTTAATCATGCCTTAAGTGGTCACATTGTTAGGGTAGCTTGTCACTTCTAGCTTTAGTTGCACCTGCTCAAGTGATGAATGATAGTATTATTTGAACTTTTCTTTTATATGCAGCATTATTTAACCATTGCTTAAGCTTTTGTATAGCCTTATTATTATTTGAACATTTCTTCTGCATTTTGAGCTTGCCTGAAGCTCACTATCACATTGTTCCTTTCTTTTCTTATCAATATGAGAAGCAATTTATGTTCTTCTAACATTATCAACATGGGTGTGTATAACGTAGGCCTTGTTACTAGCTCAAATTAACTGAACTTGGCACTAACCAACTTAAACAGAGGGATGACATGATTGGATCTGTTAATGAAAAGTGATAAGAAGGGACCAATTGGACAATGTCCAATTGCAGAGCCCTTGGAATTTCCGGTTTTGATGGACAGACCAAATTAGGAGTCTGAGGCATGCCCAAATTACGACACCGGTAAAAGTGCAAATTAAGATGTGTGCATGTGATGAGTTTGTTAGAACAAAGGAATATGCCGACAGGATAAAAACCATGAACAGTATGATGATCAGAGGGAAACCAATCAACAGTACCCGGAATGAGTAATCAGAGAAATGAAGTTAAAGAAAAAGCATAGAAGGGGGAACAAGGAAGTTGGATGTGTGTCATCATCCAACAACATCTGGAATAAAAAACAGCCATTACCCACAAATGACCACCCTCTACTTTCAGGAACTGATTGGCCACCTGTTCTGTGAAGTAGAGTTAACATCTGGGGTTGGGTGAGACCATTGAACTAAGTGTTTTTCTCTCTATGTAGAAAATATTCATACATTTAATGTGTTAATAAAGTTAGATTTTGGTGAAGTTAAGCTGTCTGTGTATGATGTATTCCACATTTACACAGGTTAATTATGCTTTAATGATCCTTTAGCACCATGGGGGTGTAACAACCTGGCCACACATTCAAGCAATTGATAGCATGATAAGAAGAGGAGTAGGGTACAAAGTTATTCCACAAAATATTCTAATATAACAAAGGACTTAATCTGTCTGTCTGTATGTTTGTCTGTCCATAAGGCTTTTGGCCAACTGTGCATGCGGCACCAAGTGGGCAGGTGGTGATTGGCTGCGCAGTCTGGGCTGCATGGGCTGAAGTTTAAGCTGCTGCTAGGAAAGTTTGTGGTGGCGGTGAACACGTCCCAGCCACCAGAACACTGGGGCTTCTCCATGCCTCCCTGCCTGAGGGCAAAGTGGGGGGGGGGGGGTCACAGTGGCAGCACCCCTCCACTGCCCATCCCCAGTGACACTGAGAACATCTACCAGGGAGGGGAAGGCAGCAGGCAGGGAGGGAGGGAGGGGAGCAGGCCAGGGAGAGGCAAAGGGGGAGTTACGGTGGTGGCTGTTGTCAGGGCTGGATGGCAGGGAAGGAGAGAGGTGAGCAGGAAGGGGGCCTGACAACAGCCAGCAGGGAAGGGGAGGCAGCAGGGAGGAAGACAGGGGGGCAGGAAGGGGAGGGAGCCCCTGAGCTGAAGGCTGGAGGAGGCAGCAGCGGAGAGAGTCTTCACATGGCTAGTCCCCAAAGGGCGAGCGGAGGGCCAGAGGGGGCCGTGTAAACACTCCGTGAACTCCATCATTCTTGACAGGCAATTAGCTCTTGTGTAACTTGTAGCTGCTTCCTAAGCACCATTAATTGAATGCGTGTCCAAGGCCCCCCCATGGCTGGGAACCCTGTCAACTGATTGGAGCTCCCACCTGAAAGGATCTATGTGCACCCCTGAGCCTAGGAGCTCCCAGCTGACAGGTCTCTCAGCCATGGGAGAGACCGCAGCTGCTGCTATCTCCCAGCCAAAGGGGTGTGTGTGGCAGCCCCGCAACTGGGAACCCTATCAGCTGAGGGGGCTCCCAGCCATGGGAGCTTGCTTCTTGCTGGTGCAGGGAGAGCCTGGGTTCTGAATTCAGATCCCCTCCACCTTTGCATTAATTACTGCTTTTCCCCACTATTATCATCCTGATGGACAGAATGCAGCAGATCCTAGGGAGCAAATAATAAAGAAAAAAGAAATGGGAATGATTGTCCCAGGCTTAAAGTGGAGTCAGAATCTCACAGCAAGGGTGTTTTAAGGAGGGAGCTGAAGATGGAAGTGATACACCTTTGTGGATATTTATGTGTAGGACAACATGGAATAAAGCAATAAGTAAGTGATGGAAGCTGATATTATGTACTGACTACAAGTGAGAATCAACTCTGAAATATTACCTGAGAGCTGATAGGTAGGCTGTGAAAGAGAGTGGGGAGGGTAGACAAGCATCTTATGTTTGATGTGATAAAGCTGTGGGTGAAGTGGAATGATGCAGAGCTGAGGTCACTACCTGGTCCAAGCAACAGGCTTGGAGATTGATCTTTGCAACAGCATTCAGGATGGGTGTGAGACTTCTCAAGAACAGTAAAAGAAGTGCACAGGGATGGAGACATGATGTGAATCTGGACAAGAGTTTTAGCTGGGTACAGGGAAAGGCTGCATCTTGGATATTTATGCACAAATAATCTTCAAGATTTAAACATAGGCTTGATGTGAGGGTCTAGGGAGAAGCCTAAACTGAAAAAGACCCAGATTACAAGGGTGAGTGACAGGCAAGATAGTTATATTGTCCACAGGGATCAAGAAAGGAGGTAACAGGAAGGTTTTATGGAGGAAGATCTGTATTAGCCATGCTTAGGTTAAGCTCATGATTTATCATCTCTGAAAAGAGGTCAGACAGGTTAACTGAAATTTTAGTTTGGATAGAATGAAAGCAATCTGTAACAAAATATCTGTGAGTTATCAGGAAACAGTGACTGAAAGAGTGTTTTTAAGTGAGATTATACCTAGATAAGGTGTAAATGGGAAAGAGGATGGGTCCAAGGACAAGGCTTGTGATGCCTTCTGCGATACTGAAGGGGTGCGAAGGGATATCTACTAAAGCACACACCAACAGACCAATTAGCAAGCAAGTTGGAGGCCCAGAAGAGAGTGGAGTCATGAAAACTGAGGAAGAACAAGATTTTAATAAGTGCCTGGTTAACCATGTGAAAGAAGGCTAACAGGAATCAGAGTGCTGGTTTGGAGATTTGGCTAAGAAGGAGTCACCAGAGAATTTGGCAAAAAGCAGATTCAGAAGAAGGCAGGGGACAGAGTGATATTGAAGGAAGCCTAGGGTGAAATTGGAAGAAACAAGTCCCAGACTGCAGTTGCAATTGTGTGCTCAATACATTTAGAGCTGGAAGGAAAAAGGGAGATGGGGCAGGTAAGTAAGGTAAAGCAAAGGGTAAATTGTTTAAAATGGTAGAAGACTAAAGCATGTGTTGTGAGATGAGAGACCTAAAGCAGGTGGCCTGTGGGCTCTGGTGGCAGCCTCTCCCACTGCTGGATGGTGAAGAGCTCAGAGGGCCCAAGGTTGTAGGGGGGGTGCTAGATATGGGCTGTTCCCACACCATGTGGTCCATGAAATGTGCAGCCCAAGGGCCACACACTGGCACCACCTGCGGCCCCTGGCCATATCAAAGTGGACAGCCTTGAGCTAGAGGATGGTAAGCGGGTGAGGAAAAGAGTAGAGGAGGGGGTGAGTATAGAAGAAAGATCAAGAGATGGGATTGCCTGTCCTGTTTAATGTTTATTTCTGCTTTCCAGCTCAGCCCTCTACTAATTTGGGAAGAAGTCTATATAATCCATAAAAACAAATTTTATTAGCATATTGTTTTGCTTTGAATCACTAACTCATAAAGAAAAAGGCCAGTTATAAATGCTGTCGTCTTCACATGCAGTCATTTGGGAGAGCAAAATGCACAGTTTCATGTTAAGTACATTTTCTTCACAAAAATGTTTGCAAATCAGATTTGAAATAAGGGACAAATAACTGGGAAATACTTAACACTTCACAAATTATAATAATGCATATTCTTATTCTCCCCTTGTAGGCCACGCAATGCAGATTACTTTATGCAAGAAGCTAAACGGAAGAAACATAAAGCAGATGCAATGGTGAGAACATTTTCCTTCTAGATACATTGTTCCAAATTATATTTGTAATGCAACCTCTTCATCAATGCAGTATAGCTGGGGTAATTATAAAAGCTATTATAGGGATGGCTGGGCTTGTTAAATTAAGAAATGTTTATATAATCAAGTGTTCATAGCCGAATAAACTATAACTTAACAAATAATGGCTTACTGAGATAAAGGCTTGGATACATGAAAATTTCCATTTATTCCTTTGCTTTAATTAGTAACTATAGCAATAGGGACTCAGTGAGCTTTCCAAAATGTTCTGTGTTTGGGGGGGGGACGGGTTTGCTGTTTCTACAATTAACTGGCTAGCCTCTGGCCTCATACCACAGAACTCTGCTAGGTGGCCACTCCCAAGCTCACAAAGGCCATAGGAATGACCCACTAATCCCAAAGGGCTTTGGATAAAGCCCATCACTCCAGTGCCAGATATGCCTGTTTCTTTTACATGTACTTTCCAAACTAAGTAGTAACACACAAGTAGTTATTTGCCTTATCAGACCTTTGCATAACTCCAAGGTAGCCACTTTCGCACAATATACCAGGGCATTAAACAAATTTTTGATCCAGACTTTGGCTGCTCTAAAAAACCAGCAGAGGATTCTGTTGACAAAGGGGAAATGGAGACTACTTGGAAGACAAAGGAGGCATTCCTCCCCACTTCTCATAGGGGTTCCTCAGAGACAGAATAGAGTTAGACAAAGAATAGAAGTTCATGGGACAAAGATCACAGTGCTGCTGCAGACCTTCACCTAACACAATAGTCCAAGTTACAGGCTGAGACAGGGTTTTAAGTCAGAGACCACATTACCAAACCAAGGAGGAATTCTAGGGATAGAGTCCAAGTTACAGGCCAAATCAGAGTTACCTAAACCAAGGGGAATATCCAAATAACCAGAGTCCAGAAACAGGGCCAAACATGGTCAGATGTCAGAAAACCAAGAGTGTAGGCTTCAGGGAAGCTTACCACAGTAGAACCTCAGGAAGTGCTATTGGCTGGCCTACAGCCAGCTGCTGCACATGGAATTAATGTCTTTACTCAAATCCAAGGCAAGGGTGGTTTTTTCCCTCCATTCAGCATAGGGGAAAGTCCCTCATCTTGGGTTCAGGTTCAAGGCAGAGGAAGGGGCAGGCTGCTGCTGCAGTTCCGACTGGCCCCGGACCCAGGTCAGAGCCCAGACGTGGGCTTTGGGCCAGAGTCAGAGTTGCAGCAGCCACTTGCCCCCTCCCTGCCTTCCTGCCTTAGCCTCTGTCCTCCTCCCTCTCCCTCCCCCCCAACCACTTACTGTCTGGCATGGCTTCAGCTTCATTCTCTCCCGGAGCACACAGCACATGGAAGCTTTAACCCCACCAAGCCATGCAGCAGTAGTAGTGGCAGCTCCAGCCCTCAGATACTGCTGCAGGGCCAGGCAGGGGCCAGAGCGTCCATGTGCTCCATGGAAATAGCAGGGTAGGAAAGGGGCAGAGAGGTTTGTGGGTGGAAGAGACTGTGGGGGTGACAATGGGGAGGCAGGGAGGCAGAAGCTGCAGTGGGGAAGAGGCTGCAGGGAATCGCTGAGAGGCAGAGACTGCAGAGGGCAGACAGGGGATGCAGGTAATAGAGGAATAGGGACCATGGGGGGACAGGTGTTGGGGGGCACCAGCATAGAGGATGCAGGGGCAGGTAGCAGAAGTAGGTGACAGAGTGAGATACCATGGGTACAGACTGCGTGGAGGACAAGTGCGGTGGGGGGAGGCAAAGGGTCTGCTTGCCCCCCCCAGCTACCTGTCCCTTTCCACTGCTTTCCCTTGTTGTAAAAATGGTGGGGGAGGGTAAATTTAAGATGACCCTGCAATAATTAGATTTTGTACATGAAATATTGTAACAAATTTATAAAGTTTCCATATATAGAATCTAACTACTGAGGAGTAACCTTAACTTTGAAGTTGTCTTGCATTTTGATAAATATGGTAAATGGGGAAGTTACTCTCCCCAACAGCCAAGCAGGAGGCCCTAACAGTGGCCAACTGGTTGCATCAGCCCATGGGGTGGGGTTGCCAGTTGGAGACTGGCAGGCTTAGCCAACTGGGCAATTAATCCTGGTTGGGCTGCCTGTTAGTGCCTCTGGCACCCACGCATCTGGAAATTTGGTGGCAGGAAAGCAGTGGCATTGTTAATTGCTATGGCTCTGGGAACCACACTGCCACCATTCCCCCACTGCCAAATTTGCATAGCTGTGGGGAGCCTCCTGGTCAGATGACATGGTTTCATGCACAAGATCTGGCTGGCATGCAGGGTTGTCTGTGACATGACATGGCATGCAGTCCTGTACCCAGCATGCTGGGTCCCACTCAGCATGTGGCCCTGAACCTGGTGCATGTCCCCAGATATAGCACGCCATGTCAAGGCCACAGACCCCATCTAGTAGAAGACTTAGTTACTACAAAGGAAGATATTTGATCTTCAGGCTGCTTTTCAGAAACAAGGTTTGAATTATATATGGGGGCATGCTGTATATTAGATATGGGGGCATGCTGTTTGGGTGAATATATGGTAATCCTTGCCTAGTCACTCCCGCTCAGGACTACCAGAGAGTGATAGAGGAGACAGGTTGGAATGGCTCTGAGTCCATTTCACAGGCCCTGCTCCAGCTGTGTGTCTTGAGAGGGCAGCATTTGGGAGTGCTTGGGGCTGTTCCTTTTAGCCCTCTAGCCTAGGGTCCCTTGCCCCCACTCTCCAGTGGTGGGGCGGGGGTGGCATCTGCCTCTCCTGCTCCACAGCAAAGTGCTCTAAATACCAGGTCACAGGCTAGGCATTGCCCAGAGCAGGGGTGGCCAGAGTTTCTCACCCTAGGAGCCACATCCAATCCTCCACTGAAGTTCAAGAGCCAGAGAGCAGGGGGAAGGGCGGGGTGCTGAGCAACCCAATGAGAGAGTTGGGGGGGTGCTGAGTGACCGCCCTCCCCAACCACCACCACCGCAGCATCAAGCCACTCTGGCTTTCCCTGCGTGGAGTGCACCTCCGGTAAACAGCATGGCTGCTGCCCTAGCACCTGAGCCAGAAATCACAGGAGAAGTGGGTGGAGCTTCAAAAAGTAGGGCAAGAGCCACAAGTACCATGCCAGTGAGCTGCAGTTTGGCCACGGTGGGCCCAGAGCACTCTCTAGTCCTCTAGCTACCTACTCTCTTAATGTCCCTGGTATGTCTCGGTAGGAGTCAGCAAGCAGGATGTTTTGTGAACAGCAGACCTGGGGCCAGGAGAGTGAAGGCAGGGTAAATTTGCATCTTATAGACCGAGGGCCTATTTTGGTGGCAGGGCCACTTAGGGAGTTTGAGTGAGCTGTTGCAGGCCAGGTCATCACTCCCTACTCTGCCAAGTCAGCAGCCCCACCTCAACAGTTCACCAAAACTGCCTAAATGGCTCCCATGCTCTCCCTCAATCTGCTCCCCACATGCCCCTGCCCACAGAACCAGCACCCATCTCAGGGACATGTGGAGGGTGAATGGCAGCTCTGCCCCAGGCCCCAACCCTGCACTGTCATTGATTCCAGTCTCCAGGCACGCTGCTACCCTTACCCACCTGTCCTGCTCTCAGACACCACTCCTCGCCCGCCCACGGCAACATCCAGCAGAGCACATCCTGCCCATGCTGGTCCTGCCCAGTGAACATAGAGAACCCTTAAACCTGCTCCATCTGGCACCCCTGATAGTAGGTGCAGAGTGGACAGGCCTGGGTGCCTGGGCAGCAGCGCAGGATCCAGCAGCAGCAGCCAGAAGGAGCCACTGCTGTGGGTGCTGCCAGGAAATGGACTCTGGCTGCTGTGCCACCCCAGCCCTGGTGGGTGCCAATGTACAGTGGGACCAGCTTTACATGCCATAGCACGGGCTGCCACCCACACCTGGGCTGGGTGGGGCCAGTGGCCCTGCCAGAGGCTGGACAAAATGCCTTTGTAGTCCAGGTCTGACCCACAGGCTGTATTTTGCCCACCCCTGTTATAGACTGACTAAATAAGATATATAGAGAGCATAGGACTTTGTGAATTCAAACTCACTTCATCAGAAGCTATGAAAAGGCAAGCAGAGAGCAGTGTATAAAGTGGAGTTAGTGATAGAAATACATGAAAAGTGGGAAGGAAGAGAGAGAGGAAGTGCAGGGGCAAACAAAAAAAAGAACCCATAGGAACAAAGGAATCACAAAAACTAATCCAGGTAATGGGATAAGAATTCATAGTCCCTGTCTAAGCCTTGTTTAACATAATTCAGTCTATGGATGATTTCTTTCTGCAATTTCCCATTCAAACTGTTTTTTGCTTTTTTTCCAATTTTGCTGGCATCAGGAAAGTGGCCAGATAGTTCCAGTGTTTGACTGACTGTGAGGGGACATAAACACAGCACAGTACTAGATGAATAGCTCAGCATCTGAGCCTAGGCAGAGCACTGTGCTAACACAGCTGTATAGTTGAGCTAGCTAGCTTGGGTAGCTCTACACAGCATTGCTTTGTGCCATATATACATGCCCTAACTTAGACCACCAGAGGCATTTTGCCCTGTACTGTCTCGGCTTCAAAGGAGAAGAAAAGTGGCTTGAAATCACTGTTTTTTGTAATTCAGTGCACACAACTAAACTGGGTACATCTACACATGCATTAAGGTGCTTTTTCTAATGCACATTAAATTTAGTACTTCCAACGTGAAGTACTAAAGAAATGCACATTAGGCTGCCTTAAGGCACAGTAATGAATGCACATGGTTTTTAAGCAATGCTTAATGCATGTTTTACTGCACATTAGGATAATTGCACAGTTTTTTACATGGCACTTTAATAAGCAGTAAAATAGGCTGGCCACCTCTCCTGCAGCAACTAGCCCTGCCACACTCCTGCTTTAGCTCTGCACAACTGCAGCCTCCATTCTCCTGCCATGGTTCCAGCACTTGCCTGCCTCCATTTCAGCACCCCCCCAGTCAGCACCCAGGACTCTTCCCCCTCTCAGTTACCC